GCTATGGCAAATAAAATGCAAGTCTGAGGTCAGGCAGGCAAAAAGGGAATATGAGGAGCATATAGCAAAAAACGTAAAAACCAACAATAAAACTTTCTTCAAATACATTAGAAACAGGAAACCAGCCAGGGAGGCAGTGGGGCCCTTGGACGACCAAGGGGTAAAAGGAGTATTGAAGGATGATAGGGAAATGGCTGAGAAGCTAAATGCATTTTTTGCCTCCGTCTTCACTGTGGAAGATGAGAAGTGCTTGCCCACTCCAGAACCACTGATTTCAGGAGGGGTGTTGGAAGACCTGAGTCAGATTGAGGTGACGAGAGAGGAGGTCCTAAAACTGATAGACAACTTAAAAACTGAAAAATCACCAGGCCCAGATGGCATACATCCGAGAGTTCTGAAAGAACTCAAATGTGAACTTGTAGATCTCCTGACAAAGATATGTAATCTTTCCTTAAAATCTGCCTCCATTCCTGAGGATTGGAAGGTAGCTAATGTCACTCCCATCTTTAAAAAGGGTTCCAGAGGAGATCCGGGAAATTACAGGCCAGTCAGTCTGACGTCGATACCGGGTAAATTGGTGGAAACCATTATTAAGGAAAGAATTAGTAGGCACATAGATGAACAAAACCTATTGAGGCAGACTCAGCACGGTTTCTGTAAGGGAAGATCTTGTCTCACTAACCTGTTAGTGTTCTTTGAGGGGGTGAACAAACATGTGGACAAGGGGGATCCAATAGATATTATTTACCTTGACTTCCAGAAAGCTTTTGATAAAGTTCCTCATCAAAGGCTCCTAAGTAAGCTCAAAAATCATGGGATAGAAGGACAAGTCCTTTTATGGATCAAAAACTGGCTAGTTCATAGAAAACAGAGAGTGAGTGTAGGTGGGCAATTTTCTCAGTGGAGGGTGGTAAGCAGTGGGGTACCGCAGGGATCAGTACTTGGTCCACTGCTTTTTAACTTGTTCATTAATGATTTGGAGATGGGAGTAAGCAGTGAAGTGGCTAAATTTGCGGATGATACAAAGTTGTTCAGGGTGGTGAAAACCAGTGAGGATTGTGAGGCACTCCAAGGGGATCTGTCAAGGATGGGCGAGTGGGCGTCAACATGGCAAATGGGGTTCAATGTGGCCAAGTGCAAGGTGATGCACATTGGAGCCAAAAATCCTAAATATAAATACACATTGATGGGGTCTGAACTGGCAGAGACTGAGCAAGAGAGAGATCTTGGAGTTGTAGTGGATAACTCACTGAAAATGTCGAGACAGTGTGTGACTGCAATAAAGAAGGCCAATGCTATGCTGGGGATTATTAGGAAGGGTATTGAAAACAGATCAGCCAATATAATAATGCCCCTATATAAATCAATGGTGAGACCTCATTTGGAATACTGTGTGCAGTTCTGGGCACCACACCTTAAAAAGGATATTATAGCTTTGGAAAAAGTGCAGAAAAGGGCAACTCGAATGATAAAAGGGTTGGAACACTTTCCCTATGAGGAAAGGTTAAAGCGCTTAGGGCTCTTTAGCTTGGAGAAAAGACGACTGAGGGGTGACATGATCGAGGTTTATAAGATTATGCATGGGAAAGAGCAGGTAAAGAAAGAGGTACTTTTCTCCCTTTCTCACAATACAAGAACTCGTGGGCACTCCATGAAACTGCAGAGCGGTCGGGTTAGAACGGATAAAAGGAAGTACTTCTTCACCCAAAGAGTGATTAACACATGGAATTCACTGCCACAGGAAGTGGTGGGTGCTACAAGCATGGACGGCTTCAAAAGGGAATTAGATAAGCATATGGAGCAGAGGTCCATCAGTGGCTATTAGCCACAAGGTATAGCTAGGGGCTCTGGGGCAAGTGATGCTCTGTCTTCTTGGTGCTTGGGGGGGGGGTCAACAGTGGGAGGGCTTCTAATGTCCTGGCCCCACTGCTGGACCTCCTGATGGCACTGGTATTTCTGGCCACTGTGTGACACAGAGTGTTGGACTGGATGGGCCTTTGGCCTGATCCAACATTGGCGTCTCTTATGTTCTTATGTTCTTAAATGTAGGAGCAGGACCAGGGTACTTTAATCCATCAGGGA